CAAGGCTGATATGGAAATATGATTTGAATGACTGCACATGTATAATCTGTATCAAATTGTTTGCCATCTCACCCAAGGGGGAAAAGAAGGAGGGAAAGAGAGAATTTGAAACTCAAAATTTAAAAATACTAAATGTTAAAAACTATAACATGTAACATATATATATATTTTTCACTTAAAATTTTTTTAAAGACTTTTCATACCCTGCCCCCTTTTTACCTTCACTCCTTTCAACAATCCAGATACACTGGACTACTTGCTTTTTCTTGTACACAACTCTAACTCCTGACCCTGTGCTCTTGTACTGGCAGTCTCCCAGAACCTAAAGTGCTCCCCTTCCTCACCCCATTTCTTAGTTTTCCTGGCTTCCTTCAAGTATAGTCTCCAATCTCACCTTCTGCAGGAAGCCTTTCCCAGGCCCTCTAACTGCTAATGCCTTCCCCCTCTGATTACCTTCCATCAACTTTATTTATTTTGTATGTATATATTGTTTATATATTGTCTTCTCCATTAGAATGTCGTCTCTTGAGGATTGGGGCTGGTTTTGCCTTTCTTTGTATCCCCAGTGTTTAGTCTGGCTCATAGCAAAGACTTAATAAATGTTTGTTGACAAATTTTGACTGACCTCAGGACTCGATAGGACCTTACACAATCTATAGGGAGGAAAAACTGGGGATATGTTGGGGTTTGGGGGAGGTTAGGTGTTATAGAAATGGACAGATGGACAAATAAACAAAATGGAATCAAAGCGGCAGAAAACCCCTCCTAGGTCATCCTAGGGTTTCTGCTGCCATTATGGTAGTATCATAATTATTGAGGATGGCTGTTGCTTTGTTGATTCAAGTGTCTGTCTAGTAAAGAGATGCTCCAGAGCTCTCCCACTGCCATTTTATGGTGAAAATTCAGTGGGGGGTGGGGGGGGAGAATGAGAAGTGAGTGGTAAACAAGGTGAAGGGAAGAAATGAGACACAGAAATACATGAAATAAATGCCACAGGAATGTGGAGTCCTAATGCACAGGGGGAAAAAATAACCTACCATGTCTTTTCTTCAATTTATGATCTGCCTTGACCCCCAGGTCCTTCTCTCCGAACTTTTCTAGAGGCATGGATGGAAGGGGTCATCAAACTGAAACTCTAAAGTGACGATTAGCAGCGTTTCTACAACCTGGAGTTTTAAATGGAGGATTCTTATACAGAGTATGTGACAGTGGTGGGCGGCAGCAGCAGCCGCGGGTGGTTGCTGGGGGTGGGGATGGAGTGGGGGAGGGGGATGTGCTGTGGTGGGAAATCAAATGCTAATTGTGAACCAGCCAGAGCTGTTCTTTATTTATTTGTCAAAGCAAGAAACAGAATTGCATTCTTAAGTGAAGATGATGCAATGATCAATCACAGCCGGCCTGTGCTCCGGGGGAGAAAGACTGGCCCTGTTCTCTGGGTTTGTTTACTTCCCATGGGCATTGTTTTCTTGCTTGTGTCAGATAGCTTATTGAGCACAACTAATCAATGTTTCCGCTGACAAGAAAATTGGAACCGTTACTCAGGAAGCATCGTTTGTTCAAAGGCAGATTTCCCAGTTAAGTACTGCTTGGTGCTGGGACCCATCCCTTTAGAGTAGCCATGTGAAAATGGCCTGGAACTACCTGGAATGCAACAGGTCATGGAAACTATGCCCATCTCAGCAGGTGCTAGGAACAAATCTTCCCACATGATTTCAGACTCTTCTCCCTCAGACTCTGGAGCTGCTGCGGAAAGAAAAAATGCAGAACTCTGGCTTTTAGGGATATCTTTTGAGGCACGATGGCGAAATCTACCCCCGAATGTTAACACTTTGAAAAAAGTTTTGTCTTTCACGTTTGGGCCACCTCAGGTCTTGAATAAATAGTGATAGAAACGCAGTTTTATTGGTGTAGGGAGCCCCCAGGCAAGGAAACCTCCTTTGCCAGTTCAGGTCAGCACTTTCTCTGAAACTTAAAATTACTGGAGAGCTGCCTAGGGCACTGAGAAGTCAAATGACTTACCCAGTTTCACACAGCCAGTGTGTTTCAGAGGCATGATGTGAACCCAGGTCTTCCTGGCTTCAAGGTAAGTTTTCTAGCCATAACTATGTGACCTCTCTAGGACAATTAAATTGGTGACATGAAAGACACATACCATGATAGAGCAGAAAAATTACAGGGAAAATTCAGCATAAGTACCAACCCCAACATCCCAGGAGAGAATTGAAATTGTCCTTACCTGATGAGAAATATCACAAGGGACAGATTAACTTGCTCTTGGTAATATTCTTGAAAGGAACATATACATTGTACCTCAAAGCACTGGTATTGAAAGAGACTTTTTGTATATTCTGCCGTACATTGGAGACATTTAAAATATTAATACTCACAAATCCCCCTATACTCCCTGCCTCTCTCTTCTTGTCCAGTTGCCCCTCTTCCTGCCTCCATATTTTTTCAAGTATTTGCCAGTCTGGCCATCCAAACAATACAATAATAGAATGTCAGGATAACCTGCTTCCTTGGCTGGGCTAGACCTTCCATCCACTGGGCCCAGGTCAGTTTGGACCTTCTATCTAACTGAATCTGGTCATTTACAAAGTGAAGTCCACATTGGAACAGAAGAATAATTTCCCTTTCTATCATTCCAACCCAAATAGTTATTGCCACATAATGGAAACCTGGAACTTTTTCTTCCATGTCATGCAGTAAAATACACCCTCAGGAGGCTGGGGGAAGAATCATTGAAAGAAAAAAAAATTTATGGTTCAAAATGAGAAAGGGAAGGAAAAAAAAAAGAATCCTCCATTTAAAACTCCAATTTGTAGAAATGCTGTTGATTGTCATTTTAGAGTTTGAGTTTGATGACCCCTTCCATCCAGGGCTCTAGAAAAGTTCGGAGAGAAAGATCTAGGGGTCAAGGCAGACCAAAAATTGAAGAAAAGATATGGTAGATTATTGTTCCCCCTATGCATTGGGACTCCACATTCCTGTGGCGTTTATTTAATGTATATCCGTGTCCCTTCACCTTGCTTACCAATTCTCATCCTTGGACTGAAATAGTGTCAATTCCTCCATGAAGGAAACACAGTTTGACCTTATCATCTCTTCCCAAATTGCTCAGCAGAATTCCAAAGGAGATTCAAAGAGCCCTTACCAAAAGCCCAGCATCATTTCCAGAAAAAGTTGAAATTCAGGTTTGGACAGGAGAAATAGCTGCCCCCTCTTACAAGCACAGTCCCTTCAGGGGCCCAGGGTGAGGGCACTGACTAATACTGCTGCTGTCTGTGACCTCAGGCAAGTGTCTGTCTCTGGAACTCAGTTTCCTCACATGGACAATACAAATATTGGAGTAGATAATCTCTAAAGACCCTTCCAGCCATAGATTGAGATTATGATAAAATGATCAATCAGGGACCCTAGATGCAATCCCTTCCTTTTTCATTGATAACAAGGATCTTAGCCCTTGGATTCCTATTCCTGTGACTTATATTCCATGACACAGAGGCAAGCTATTACTGTACTCACTAGGAATAAAATATTTCCAGTTAGCCAAGGCACTCAGATGAACAGATCCCTGTAGTTATAGAGGTCTTCAAATTCCGCACATGGTCATCTGAAAAAAACAAAAACAAAAACAATACAGTGGCAACAGTTTAAGAAGCAGTAATGTTCTTAGGTATAGGGAGAGGATTGTCCTTCCGAGAGATGGTATCTAGTTAATTCAACAATCAACAACAATACGGTTGTTCAGCCATCATCTGTAAGCGCTTACAATCTCTGGCTTCCTTCAGAGATTCATTAGAGGGCTGTTGCCTATCTCCTAGAGGAGGCACTTCCCAGGGGCAAGAAATGGAGGATTGATTTCAGGGAACAAGTCAGTTAAGCAAGAGCATAAAGTAGTGGAAGAAAAGAATGGGAAATTAGACAACAAAGGTAGGCTGGGGCACGGTTGTTGAGGGCTTTAAGGGCCAGGCCAAGTTGTTGTTCTTTTCTTGCTGCTGCTCCGTGGTAAAGTAGATAAAGTGCTGGACCTGGAGTCAGGGAAGACTCACCTTCCTGTGTTCCAATCTGGCATCTGACTCTTACTAGCTGTGTGACCCTTGGACAAGTCACTTAATCCTGTTTGCCTCAGTTTCCTCATCTGTAAATGAGCTGGAGAAGGAAATGGCAAATTACTACAGTATCTTTGCCAAGAAATCCCCCAAATGGAGTCATGAAGAGTCAAAGATGACTGAAAAACAATAACAAAAGTTTTTGAATGAAGATAGTGTCCTTGTGAGTGGAGAGAAGAGGATGGATGTGAGTGCTGGTATGAAGGTTGAATCAATAAGTCTTGGCAATTGATTAGATCGAGGGTGGGGAAGGATAGGGAAAAATCAAGGATTATTGAAGTTGCAAACTTGAGTGATTGGGAGTTGAGTGGAATCCTCAACAGGAAAAGAGGAAGTGTAAGGAAGGGGTGGAGCTTGAGGAAAGTTTTGTTTTGAGTATAGTGATGTTGAAATACCTCTGGGACATACAAGTGGCAATGTGAGACTATATATATATATATATATATATATATATATATATATATATATATATATATATATATATATATGAGACTCATCTGCATGAGGATAAGTGAACCCATGGAGTTGGTGAAGTCACCAAGAAGAGAAAGAGAAGAGAAGGGAACTCAGGACCAAACTAGAAGATGAATACCTGCACTTCCAGGGCTAGAGATGGTGACAGACTAGCAAAGAAAACTGAGAAGGAAGGTAAGCCAGGTAAGAAGAGAGCCAGAAAAAAGCAGCATAACAGAGAAGAAGGGAACAGGATATCCACAATGAGAGGGGTGGTCAATAGCATCAAAATCTTCAGAGAAGTGCTCAGAAGAATGAGGAAAGAGAAACAGGTCCATACTTTTACACTTTTTAAACAAGGGTTAACCCTTTAAATGGTCATTTGCAAAACCCCATATCATCTCAGGAGCCTCCTAATTTGTTTCTTTCTTACAGGAACTCTACAATTTGGGTCTGGGCAAAGATGTGGTGGTTCAGATTCTGCAACTGCCTGTGTCTTACAAGAAAACAAAGGAGCAAGTTTCCAAAATTTGGGAAACCCTTCAACCCCAAGTAAATTATTGTTTTTCTATGTCACAGCTAATTTTCTACCCTAACTTAAAATGAGGTAGTAGTATGTTGAAACCTTGATGTAGAATGGAACCATTTGAAGAAAGTGGAAGCTCCTTAAGGGCATGGACTGTTTCATTTCTGTTTTTCTCTCCCTAGCATCTAGCGTAACACTTGGCACATAGTATGTGCTCAATAAATGCTTATGGAATTTAATTTTTAGAACAGTTAGCTACATTGTGGAATTTGGTATGTGTGGGGTGCGGGTAGGGGCTATCTTAGGTTGATCACCATATGTAAAGTTCAGAAAGATCTAAGGCAGCCCAAGCTACCATATTACAGTGTGACACCATGAACTCCCCAAATGGTAGTATTATAATGATCCTCTAGTGTGTAACTTTTAAGTTTAAGCTGAAATACTGATGTGAAAAATTCATTCAGGAGCATTTTTATATCACAGCAAGAAGGGGGAAAAGAAGAAAAAGGAGAGGATAATCGAAGTATATCCCATCTAGCACTCGAGAAAAATGGTAGCCTGTTTGAGTCCAGATGACAATCTAATATGTTCAAGAGGAATACTCATATGAGGAAAGCTATAGAGAGCTGGCTTTGGGGTCAGGACTGGCTGACACATACTAGTTGTGTGATCATGGTAACTTTTTTTTACCCTCTCAATTACCTCAGCAACTCTGTATACAAAATTGCAGATAATTTGCTGGTCTGCTCAGTGGATATATTTCCCCTTGTAGATGAAATCACAGGAATAAGTCATCACCTTCCCTTCAAAAAGGAAAAAAAATGTGACTAAAAACAAAAGACAAAACAATATTTTTATTCTTGTGAATGTCACCATAATAAGCCAAATTTGCATCTAAAGCAAGAAGATAAAATGATTGTTCCCCCATGCTAATAGCATGGCCTTCTTTACATATTTTTCTCTTCTAATACTGAACACCCAAGGCAAGTACATCACTTGCCTTACCCCACACTGTCATAGTTCTGCTTGTGAACAGTTAGGTTCTCTTAGAATACAGTTCATCAAATATCAAGATGGTGATCTGCAAGACTGGGGCAAAAGATGAGAAGGTTGTCATCAACTTGGCTGAAATTAGTATGTATATGTGGGTTAGAGAGTTGTCCCTCCTTCATTTGTACTGACTGAGTTCAGTAACCTCTAGATGTAATTATTTGGAAAGTTAGTATGAAAAAAAGCAAAATGAGGAGCAAGAAATTATTGTTTAAAAAAAACAAAACCTAAAACATATTAAGGAAAAAAAACCACATATATACAGATACTTGTAAAGACATGACAACTATTTTTCGAGGAGGAGAAATAATCAACTCACATAGATTCTCAACAAGATGTTATTGGGTTTTCACTAACTTCCATAAATAAAACTTCATTAAAAAAAAAAGACTTAAGACACCACAGAAATGCTATATGCTACCATTTAAGAAAATGTTGAAATATGAATGGCTTTTAAAATTAAAGCCCAGAATTAGAGCAATTACTTATTTAGTTAAAAAACAACAACAGAATGAAGTCACTGTGTTTTATGTTTATAGTGGGCATGGCAATGGGGGAAGTACAATACACCATCATATAACCTATGGATTTTAAAATAAAATTAAAGCTTCCTGTCAGTATGCATGGCTGAGGTGTTCTGAGCTTGGATCTCACACCCACAAGTGTGGAAGTCCTGCAATACTTTGTAAATACATCCGACCTTTAATTTCTTATCATCGACTCTCTTTTTTTCCCTCTCCTCCTGCCTAAGCAGTTCACTGTCCATGTTGGAGTTGCTCCATCTTCCAAAGCAATCATCCTAGAACAGTGTGGCAGGAACCGAGGTTATAAAGATGAAGATATTTGTGGTTTTTCGCCAGAAGGTGGTGTTTGCCTGTCAGATGGCCCAGATGTGATTGAATCTACTATCAGCATGAAAGCAGTTTGCAAAAACATCTCTGTCAATGGAATCCAGGTTCTCTATTCCAGAGACGCGGGAAGGTAAATCCTGTGTAGAGCATTCCCTGATCAGATAGGGCATCAGTGAAGAAAACTCTGAATTTCTGCTTTAGTCATCTGTCAAGGATTTATTTCTTCCATTCTATAGAAAGAATAGGATAGGAGCTGGACAGGTATACTTATTTTGGACATAGGAAAATCTGTGTTGAAGAAACTTCTTCTTCCAATAGAGATCTAGCACCTTCTCTGCAATGTATAGTCTTAGAGAACTCTATCCCATCTAAAAATTTAAAAATGAGCTGAACAACCACATTCTCCCACTTTCACTGCTCTATGCTCAATGTTGCTAGTTAGCATTGGTTAGTGCAATAATATTTCAAATCAGTAAAGTGATGATCAAAATGGAAGAGAGACTCTACAGTACTGAGGGCAGTAATAATAAAAATAATAGTTAACATTTATATGTCAGACATTCAGAATAGAGATCAGACTTGGAATCAAAGACCTCAGTTCAAATCCTACCTTTGACTCTCATACTGGCTGTACAACCCTGGACAAATCATTTCATCTCAAAGTACTTCAGGCAATGATCTAAGACCATAAGGGTTTTTTTTTTAGTTTTTGTTTTTGCTGAAAAAAAAAAAGCTTCTGCTCACAAATTTGGTCCAAAAAACCCCCCAAAGCAAAAAACTTTTACATAGAGCTTTAAGCTTTGTAAAATATATTAAAAACATTCTGTCCCTCTTTTTTTAATTACTCAAGTCAGTCAATAAGCATTTAAGTAAATCCTCACTATGTGTCAATCACTATGGAAAATCATTGGAGGTACAGAAAATGGCAAAAGCCAGTGTCATTACCTGCAAAGAGTTTATGTTATAGTGGGGGTGACAACATGTAAACCACTAGATAGATACAAGATACGTACTGAGTAGATGGAGAGGAATGAGGGAGGAAGAACCAGTTTGCTACAGATAGACCCTAGAGAGTGGTGAGTGCATCTATAGCTCTGGGTTCAGAATCACAGAGATGGGGTGAAAATAAAGGGATGAGAAGATGTTAACCTGTAAAGAGTAAGTCCAGGAAGAGTATTAATGATTGAAGAGAGGTCCATTGAAGGAGGCAGGAGATCTAGATTGCAAAGATCTTCCCTAGAAGTTTGACCTGGTTGTAGATGGTGATGCTCTATCTCAGAGCAGTCAGAAAGGAGTAGGAAGAGATACAGGAGTTTGGTCATGAGGTGAAGGTGTTTTATTTTCCCTGGAGAAGCCCCTGGGGGCAGGAAATGGAATAGAGATGGTCTTGGGGAAGGTCTTACTAAAGAAGGAGGTGGGCAATGAACCCCAGTGTGCTTTGCTTTAGAAAAGGCCCTGACTTGAACCCAGAGGGCACATGGGTTATTTGAACCTTACAACAATTCTATGAGGTAGGAGTTATCATTATATTCCTTTTAGGAGAGGCTAAAGTGACTTGCCCAGGGTCACACTGCTGGTAAGTATTAGAAAAAGGATTTGAATCTAGGTCTTCCTGATGCCAAAGCTAGTGCTTTTCCTACTATACTAATGTATTACCAGTTTTTTCATTGTACTTCTGACATGATTAAGCAAGGAAGGATTGGTGAACACTTTGTTGGCAGGTAACATGTTATGAGTTCTAAAGACTTTTATTTTGTTTATTATCTTTAACTTGTCATCAAGAAGGTGGGTAAAACATTATATCAATAAATCCTAGACTGTTGGAGGACAAAGGGACCTTGTAGACCAAATTGTGCCACTCCCTCATTATTAGCAGCAATATTCTAAGGCCGTGTAGGCTAGACAAGCTTTTCCCTAAAAAGTGTTCAAACTATCATCAAGACTTAGTTGGCTCAGGAAACTGATGGCTCCAGCTGTTGACTGAGCTTCCCGGTGCTAAGGGGACAAGGAATCAATAGCTCTTCCCTCAGGCTGATAAGAGAACTAGGGCCCAGAAAAACAGGATGAGCAGGCACAATGGAATACTCACTGAACTGTCAGAAAACCTGGGACCTCCTGTCACCACTACCCTCTTCTATGTGTGGGACACCATGGGCAAAGCCACTTAAGTCCATGAGTCCATAAGTTTGTTTTGAATCTAGGAACTGGAAAAAAAAATGCACTACGTAACCTACATTTGCTCATTTCGAATGGCAAACTTTTTGTCCTTTTAATTTAGTTGTTTTCTCATATACACACCCAAAGAATTGGGAGGAAGACAAGCAGGATTTAGAGCTACACTGTGACCCACTCTAAAACCTACCCTCACAAGCACGAGATTCTCCTCTCAATGGGACAGATTTCTTCATTTGCTATGCCTACAGTAGGGAGCTTTAGAAGGTCTATGAGGACAAAAAAACCCAAAGAAGTTTGCCCACTTTTCCTTCCTGAGGAAGCTGATTTTGGGGATAGGGGCTGGTAGGAGATTAGGGAAGGGGGAACTGAGCCTCCTCATCTAGTACCAAAGCAGAGTAGACTATGGTAGGTCAAGAGCTCTGCAAGAGATCAAGCCCAATCCAAAGTGAAACCAGATGAGACACTAGGAGAACATCTGAAAATTTTTTAAAAAGTTTCTTTGGGCATAGTAGGGAAAGGAAAGGGAGCAAGGACACAACAGTCATCCATTTGGGTGAAGCGTCCCAGTTTCTGTGTTGCCCAGGAGGTCCCAGGTTTTCTGACAGACCTACATCGAGAAAACTTGAGGGAGGAGCTGTTCCTTGGCCACCAGGCAACTAAGTCAACAGCTAGAACCACTAGAGCCAATTGTCTTGATGATAGATAGTTTCAATAGCTTTTAAGGAAAAGCTACCCTCACCTCCATGGGATACTTAGAATATCGCTTCTAGCCCCCCAAGCTCCTACGGAGCCGTTATGAACTTGGGAGTACAGGACAGGGAAGAAGCTAGAACAAGGGATAATTAGTATCTCTGTATAGCAAGGTATGTTTGTATTGGCCTTTGGAGGAAAAACTAGCTTGCCATCTCTCCCTCTCCAGACTTTCCTTCTCCCTTTCCCTCCCACCCACACAAACACACACTCCCTTCCCTTCCTTTCCCTGTCCCTCCTCACTCCAGCACACACTTCCTTCCTCTCTCCCTGTCTTTCCTCTAGTCCCAGTGGCCATGAGAGCCCAAAGCAGCTAGGGAAAAACAATTATGTCAGCTAGGGGCAGAAAGAAGCAGGAGAGTCAGAGCTAAGCCCAGAGGAAACCAGTAAGCACCCAGTCAACCATGACTTAATATCAATCCTCATGTCAGTGCACTCTCATTTTTACTATTTAACAAAAACAACTTCTGAAAATACTAGGTATCAGGATGAAATTTCTAAGCTCCATTGTTTCCTGATAACTTTTCCATCTAGAACAGGCATGTTTAGTCAGACACCATTCTGTAAAGTTGGTATTCAGTCAAAGAGCTGCACTTGAGGGCATAGAGGGCCACATGTGGGCTTGAGGCCAAAGGTTCCCCACCCCTCATCTAGAACAACATCTGTGAACTTCAGATCTTTCATGTATAAAATAGAGAAAGCATCCCATGCCCTGGCTACCTTACAGGATTGTTATAAGAATTAAATGAAATAAGCTGGTTGAAAAACTAAACGAGCAAACAGAACACATGCTATAATGTAAGGTACTATTAACCATGGGTATGAACTCATTTGCCATTTTAATTGGACAAGTCACTTCACTCTTGGGTCTTGGGCCCTTTTTCCATGAAATGATCTCCCAGGTTCTGTCTGCTCTAATACTCTGTCATTCAAGTTGTTCTATGGATCTACTGAACCTAGAAAATGGCAGAACACAAGAAGGTCAGTAAGACTCTATTCTCTTGGTACCAGATAAACATACCTCTCTTGGTACTACTAGGAGTCAACTCCTACCTGTTCCCTTCACCGCTGTCACTTGAAAGCCATTTTAGAGACTATTTCACAAGATCTTTAGTTCATCCCATTGTGGGTGGGTTCCCCTCTCCTCTCACCCCAACCTTGGACCAAAATTTGTGTTTCCTGAAAACAATTTTTAAGGGAGGTTCCCACAAACTCTATTCATATACAGCCTGGTTTCCAGATAAACAACCTCTTCCCTAGCTGACGTTCATGACAATTGAGATTAGTTTGATTCTTACCATGACGTTTCTGTGTGGTTACAGATATGTCTGCGATTATACCTACTATTTGTCTCTGCATTATGGAAATGGCTGTGCTGCTTTCATTCATGTCCCTCCATTATCCAATTTGCTAACAGCCGACCTTCTAGGAAGAGCATTGCAAATCATTATCCAAGAGATGTTAAAACAGTTTGGAAAGGCCAGAGAATAAAGCATGACTTGCAGAAAACTCAGATAATCACTGTGTTATATGCCGAGGGAAACCAAAGGAGGAAAGAAGTCTTCAAGGGAAAAAATTGAATGCTGAAATCCTGCTAAGAGTTTGACTGCACTTTTGAGAGATTTTTTAAAAAAACTGCTTGTAAAATGGTGTTTACAGAGAAGAACAAATTATGAATCAACCCAATGAAAACTCAAGGGGTTATATTCCTGTAAGAAAAAGATGAACACAGTAAAAGACAGAAATTTTACAAGAGATTAACTAGCTTCAAGTGCAATTTATTTTATAATAAAATGAGATCCAAGTAATTTCTTTTCTGAGAGATGACAGAGTACACCATTCTGACCACAGATGACTGCAACACACAGTCTGCAAAGCCAAGCAGTGGTTAAAGAATGTGCTCTTGCCTACACATGCTAATGCCCATTGTGACGGGTTTGATGAACACGGTTGTATTTATCATTAAGGAAAGACATGGTTGTAATTTCCATTTTCTTCTGTTATGTTGCACTTCCTACTCTAGTCCCAGGAGAGAACTCACTTGGTTTCTGGATGATTAGGAATCTCTTGAAAACAGTAAGGATTAGGTCCCCTAGTCACAGGACCTAGGTTCTTGTCTCAATTCTGCCATTACTTTGAGCCATATATTTCTGCCATTTATTTCTGCCTTATATTTCTTTGAGCATATTACTTCTCTTGGGGGCTCAGTTTTTTCTTCATCTTTGCACCAAGTGGTCTCCACAATCTCTTCCATTCATTCAACAGGACGGAAAGAAAGGAAGGAAACCTGCATTTATTAAGCACTTGTTAAGTGCCAGGCATTGTACCAAGCACTTTACTAACATTATCTCATTTGAGTTCTATCATTACTACTATTTTACAATTGAGGAAACAAGCATATTGAAATTAGTGACTTGCCTAGGGTCACATAGCTAATAAGTGTCTGATACTGGATTTGAACTCAGGTCTTCCTGACTCTAGGCTTGGCACTCTACCCATTTTACTACATAGCCTCAACAGCCACTGTCTTGTTAGTTATTAGGAAACATAAAGATAAAATGGGCAGCTAGGTGGCACAATGGATAGAGCGCTGGGCCTAGAGTCAGGAAGACCTGAGTTCAAATCCGGCCTCAGATACTAACTAGCTATGTGACCCTGGGCAAATCACTTAGCCTTGTTTGCCTCAGTTTCCTCATCTGTAAAATGAATTGGAAAAGGAAATAGCAAACCATTCCAGTATCTTTCCCAGGAAAACTCCAATTGGGGTTACAAAAAGCCATACGTGACTCAACAACAACAACAAAGCTAAAATTAGACAAGGTGTCTGATCTCTGAGAGCCCAAGGTCCAGTGTGGGGAGTGGGGGTGGGGAGGGGTCCTGTGGGAATATGACACATATTCAAATATATAATAGTATATGACTCAACAAAATAGTATACACTCTGCAGAACAGAGTGTAAGTGCAAAAGAGAAAGGAAAGTTTTCTGACTTGGAGTATCAGCAAAGGCTGTGTGAAGGGAATGCTATTGAACTAGGACTTGAAAGATGGTTAGTATTTCAGAAGGTAGAAATGGGGGCATGAGCAAAGATATGCAAAAGGGAAGACACCTGCTAGATAACAGGAAATGTTAAATAGTCTAATTTATTGATGGAAAGAAGTAATGAGGGACAAGGATAGGAAGACAAGGAGTCTACAGATTGTTAAAGACATCAAACAGAACCCTAACAAAGAATTCAGGAGCCTAGAGTAAGCACCACAAAACGGCCCTGTGGTAGGGGATGCCTTCATGATGGTGGCTCAAAGAGTCATCCAATGCCCAGTGACAGGGAGGCTGCTATTAATAGGAGAACCCAGGGTGGGGCCAGGCCAGGAAGAGCTCCCCCGGGCAAGACAGCCATCTTGCCCTTCCTATTGTTAGTCTCCTGTTGTCACTTTAATTGCCAAACTCAGCTGTTTCTCCCTGCTGGGAAAATACAGCTGCTGTCAGTGCTCACTAAGGGACAAAACCTAGCTCTACTTAATGCTATGATCCTGAATGATGAGCCAGAAAGTCTGGATTGTATTCACTGGCAATGAGAAATAGTTCAAGGGTTTTGAGCAGAGTTCTATGATTCGGGACATTGGCAGCAGCCTGTTTATAAGGAGGAAAAGCTGGTAGTTGGAAACCAGGTAGCAGGTTAATGTAGCAATCAGGTTAGTGGTGAGGATCTGAACCAGGGTGGTAGGAGTGGAAATTAAAGGAAAACAATAGATTAGAGCAATATTTCTGCATTAGAGTTGACAGGGCCTGGCGACCAATTGGAATGTGGGAGGAAATGGAGATGGAAGAGCCAAATATAAAAACGAGGTTTTGATCATAAGACTAAGTGATGTTATTTTTGACAGGAATGGGGAAATCCAAAGGAATTTTTTCAGATGATGTGTATTGTTTTAAGACATATTGACTGTGAAGTAATGCTAGGACATCAAGATAGAAATATCCCATAGCCAGTTTGGAAACAGGATTTCTCTGGTCTCCTTCACCACTAAGTTTCTAGAAAGAATAGCCTGCACCTCTTCACCACCCACTTGCTTGTCAATCTACGACTGCTCTACTGAAACTCGTCTCTCCAAAGTCAGCAATGACTTTTCAGTTGCTAAATTCAAAGGCTATTCTCAGTCCTCATCCTCTTTGTCCTTTCCAAGAGCATTGCAAACTCTCAACTTCCCTATTTTCCACAATCAAAACCCCAGTCATCATTGACTGTTCCCCACATCCTACACCCGCAGTGTTCAAACACTGAATGTTTGAGCTGGAGGGCTTCTTCTTAGAGCCTGTGGCTCAGTGCCCACATTTCACAGGTGAGGAAATGGAGGCCTACATCAGCTTGCAGGTTCGTTGATTCGCTATCTATAATCTCTCCCACCTTTACTCTACTCTTTCTATCACCAGTTTATTGTAATGGCCTCCAAAACCAATCTCCCTTCCTCTCATTTCTCTCCTTGACAATGTATCCCTTACATGACAGCCAGGCTAGTTCTCCCGATGCACAGGTATGACCCAGTCACTTCCCTACTCAAAAGCTTCCAGTGGTTCCCTGATGCTGATAGAATATAAAACACAGCCTTCTTAGCTTGGAATGTAATGTTCTTCAGACCCTGGCTCTCAACTTTCCTTATTTCATGTACTACATCCTAGCCCCACCAAACCAGTCCACAGCTAGTGGACTGTTTGTAGAATGTATTCCCTCTCCCGTTCTTTCAGTACATAGGGCAAGTACTACCAGCTAACTCCAAGAAGTTTTCACTAGTCATCCCAGCTGAAGTGATCTTTACTTTCCTCAAATTGTCCTAGAACATTTTATCTGGATCTCTTCTGTGTTCCTATCCCCTTCTACTTTGTGTCATACTTGCTTGTGCACATGTTACATCTCTCGCTCTACTGTGCCTGCCCCTCCACCCCTACTGGAATGTGTGCTGCTTGAGGGCAGAAACTAGGTCATTTTTAAAAAATCTATAAATATGTACGTAGCACTTAGTACAGTCTCTTGCATAAGGCAAAAATTTACTAAGCACTTGCTGAAAATGTTTAATCATTCAAACTATGGGAATGAATAAAATTGCAATGGGGAAGGTCATAAAGAGACAGGGTAAAAAAAATTGTACAATGGCCAAAAAAACTGGATTTGAAGTAGGAGAACTTGGTGTCAAATCCTTGTCTTTGCCACATACAATCCATGTGACCTTGGGCAAGTTATTTAACCTTCAAGCCTCAGCTTCTTCATGTGTAAACTGGGCCAGAGTAGGTGGCTGAAGGTCTTTTTTAACTATAAATCTAGGATCCTATGTTAAGAGAGGCATTGTGGTGTAGTAGAACCAGACCTGGTTTGGGAGTTAAGATCAAGGTTCATACCTATTAGCCTTCTTTCTAGTCATTGGTAAGAGTAAAATTTGTACTGACTGATCTTTAAGGTCCTTTCTAACTCACATCTATGACTGCTTGAATACTCACTTTAACTGGCCAGGAGGAAAGACCAGCAAAAGAAGGGGATGAGCTGTCAGAGGCATATCAGGCAAACCAGGAGATCACTTACTGTCTTGAAGACTGAGAAGAGAAAGTATTAAGGATTGATGAGGTGGCCATCAGGGTCAATTACTACAGTGGTCAAGGGGCTGGAAGACTGGAAAGAGTCAGTTGGATTTGATGACTGGATTGAGTTGAGCTGAGAATAACGGTGCCAGAAAGTTACCTTATAAGGATTAAATGGGAAGTCAAAAAGTAAGGTAGAGGCACTGAGTGTAAATAACTCTAGAAATCTGGTAGTTAAAAGGGTTTGGATTGATAGTAAAATCAGGAAGATGAGGCAGCCATATTGGAGGGAAGGCTTTAAAAAAACTATTTTGGGAGAGCTGAAAATTATTGTGAACAAGGAGGGAAAGACAATGAAAAGGGAGAAACAGAAGACACATGATAGAGAAGGAATGATTCCCTGCTTTGAATTCTATAAATCCTTTGGGAGAAATGCAGCTAATCTCTTTTTTTAAAAAAGCCCATCTCCTTTAATCTATTTTGTTGTAGCAACAAAGGGTGAATAGACTGGGGATATTTAGCTTGGAGAAGAAAATTGAGGGTGGAGGGGAAGGGGTTTGATAGCAGTCTTCTAAGTATTTGAAGGGCCACTCTGTGGAAAAAGAGATTAAATTTATACTGCTTGGCTCCAGAGAACAGAATTGGGGGTAATGGGTGGATGTTGCAGAGGCAAATTTAGGCTTGAAGTTATTGGAACAAAAAAACACAAAACTTTCCAAGAATAAGAGATAGCCATAAGCAGAATGCATTTGTTTTCATTGACCATGTATATTTGTTACAAGTGTTTATCTATCTGTTGGTCTGTCTATCTACCTAGGGGGAGAGGAGATAAGATAGAGTTATTTAAAAAAAAAGGGGGGGGTGTCGTTGACACATTTTTTAAAAAATGCACAGGAGAGAACAAAAGGAAGGCCAGATGACATTGCAGACAAGTGGGACAGATTTGTAAGTTACATGTTGAATTTATTATTTACTTAAAAAGAAAAGCAAGTTGACTATTCTAAGAGACTTCAAGGACAGCCCTCTTTCTGTTCTACTATGTATATGGAAGTGGTCGTATTATTTGGTGTTTATTAAATTCAGAAGTAAAAAAATGAAGTAGCGCAAACTACTTTGGGGTGGTAGAGGGCTCCTCTCTCACTGGGAATCTTCAAACAATGGTGGGATAACCACT